TGTACAGACCGCCCGGCGCCGACCGGTAGGTACCTGTACTACGGTATTATGTACTACATATTACCCACTTCACCTTTTTTGCCTAATGATCAACTTCCTGCTCCAGTTTGGGTAAAATGCCATGAGCTATGTATTCGTAGACCGTCTGCTCGAATTTCTGGAGCTGGCGCATTAAACACGTGCAATGAAAGCTCCAGCTATGCGAGCAGGTATCGTCTAACGGTTCCAGAACATCGAATGTCACTTGTACGGAGTCATGCCAAAAGTTGGCCCATGGTCCATGGGTGAACATTTGATCCAGAGCGGACATTAAAGCCGGGCTCGCTCCGACAGTGTCAGAGAGACATGAGCACGCGGGTATTTTTTCCAAGCTACATTCGTCCTCAAGTTGTGCTATTGCAGTCGGGTGTGATTCGTTGGCCACTACATATACCTAACATACCTAGGTTTAAAGTCTATTGCTGCCAGTGCACACGCGTCAAGTATTTGACGAATATAGGTACGAATGTCCATAGTGAGGGCGCGCATCAATTGACATATGTCCTTGTACACTCACCCACTCTCTTTCACTTGATGTCCCATCTTTTCTCGTACATACATCCATTCCGCTTGTTCACCTCGCGTTCTCGCAGCAATGTCCGGGAGTAAGGTTGTAAGTTATCTGTCGCAGGGTATATAGGGGTAAACAAAGCACATCAGAGTGGCCAGACGGCTGCGCCCATTCTTTTGTGCAACATTATCGCTCAACCTCAACACAGCGTGCTCATGACGGTTTTACTGCACAACGACCTCCTTGAAGTGCAGCGAGATTACTCCGTACAGAGAACGGAGTATATTGCTCTCATATCCACGGTTTCGTTCGGCCGGCCGGCCTCGAATGGTTGGTTCCATTTCATGGCGCCATCTCTAATGCTCCAGAAGAAACCACGTACGATCCGCAGTGGCCACTGGCAGCGGCCGCGACGTGAAGCGCCCAGGGCTGCGACAAGATGCAGATAGACGCTCTTGCCCAAGTCTGTAGACAGCTGCTGTTTCCCGGGGCCCAATTCAAATTCCAGGTCTTCGGGACTCAGACCGATTCCATTGCCGATGCTGGCGATTGCGCTCTCGCTAATCTTTACCGTAGGTAAGAGGGACCGTCTGTACAGTTATCGTCCCGTCCTGGTACAGTATGTGCTCTGTATGACCATTGACCACATTGCATCGCAGGTTGGCACGCAATGTAAACACGTGCATGTATGTAATTACATACTCCGTAGAGCGCCGCCGACGGCCGTACGGAGTACATAGGCAGGGCGCGGCCTCGTTTCAGAACAGCGGCTCACTTTTAAGCCGCGAAGTCTCGCCTTGCCGCAGCCATGCCGAATTCCGTCTCGGCTGTGTCCAATTGCTAACATGTATAGTTGAACGACCCGTCTGCTTGCTACTATACTTTACTGTCGGAGCCCCGACTGTGTACACTGTAATGAAATCCACTCGTGATATGAAACGCAAAGTTTGCGGGATATTATTCAGCTGGTCTCGCCTCGCACGTGGCCTTGTCTCGGGTTTGTATCCTGAAATGAGAATCATAGAATGCTACCAACCTAAATATATCCCGGAATTAACTGCCTACTTGACTTTGACTCAGGATGATGAATAGAGATAATGTGAAGAACAAGGGGTAAGAACACACGTTCTCTGGAATAGATGTGATGATTATAAAATTATAAAGTGCAGAAGTTATACGGAGTAGGGGGTCAAAGACTTCCTCCCGGGCTTATAACTCTGGCACAGAACTACTATCTGCAACAGTCCTGCATTTTTGTGCCCGACAACGATTCCGAACTTGAGGTCAGAGGTCGGCAGCGTTCCGGTCGGGCTTGGAAAGCGTCAAATTCATCATGGCACGCCGCACTGCCACTACTGCCGCTCAGCCGGGACGGACTGTGGTGCTTCTCTTTTCCTCGCCACCGGCAGAACGCTCGCCCTTTTCGGCAAGGATTGATGTTTGCACGAGCCCCACGCCGCACGGGGTTCGCTCGAGTCGCCTTTCATTGCGCCAAGGTGTGGGATTGTGTTGTAGGCGTGGAGATCCTTGTCTATAAGTGTCACAAATCGCTTTGGTGTTTCGGCCACACGTTACCATTGACCAATAGCATGTACTCTATACTCTCTACACCGCACAGTGTGTGTACGGAGTTCCGAGTATGCAAAGATCAAGAGGCCGTCTTCTGGCCACGGAGGGGATCAAGATCACCGAAAACGCCGTCCATGCGAGGAAATAGCACGAACACTCCGTAGGTATCTTGCTACATCAGAGTCAGACCGAAGGAGTGACCGGTATGCAATTCACTGTCGCGCGAGGGCAACTAGGTAGCTCATTTGATGGATCGATAGGGTCAGTAAGTATGTGGCGGCAACGCTGATATTTGTTCACGCGCACATCATAATGCAGCAGTGCGATGATCAATGTGCTCAATTTTCTGCGCACTACTTCTCATATTCTGATGGCCTGCACGCGGGCTTGAGACAAACCTTGGTGCCGTTTCGAGAACAAAGCGTCAGAGTCAGTTTCTCCTCCCAAGGGCCCGGATCCCGACTTTCCAGCCCGGAAAATTCCTGTGCGATCCGTACAATTACGTACGAGGCTTCTGTCAGGGCATACTTCTGTCCTAGACACACTCTCGGCCCACCATTGAAGGGCAAATACTCCCATCGTGGTAGAAGTTTTCCGGTCTCCCACCGGTCTGGACGGAACTCGTCGGCATCGGGCCCGTAGAGGTCCGTTCGTCGATGCATTGCGTAGGTGCTGTAGACCATTCGTGTACCTTCGGGCACAAAGACTGGCGATTTACCATCGGGCCCGCCGCCAAGTGGTAGGAATGTGTCCTTCACTGCTTTGCGAGAGTTTATCGGCACAACAGGATGGATGCGCAGTGCTGCAGAATATGTTATCAGCCCCAGTCTGAAGAAGCGGTACGAATAGAAAACGAAAGTAGAGAAAAAGAGAGTGATACAAAAGTGGAAGGAGAGAAAGTATGATAGATGAAAAGACAAAATAATTGCTTCGTCTTACATTCATTCAAGCAACACCCGAGGTACTTCAGCTTTCGTAACCCCTCAAATGTAGGCATTCGGCCTTCCAAAGTGGCTACCTCGGCCTGCAACTTAGCCCACACGACTGGATTCTTGGCCAGCATGAAGAACAAGTTACTGAGAAAACTGGCAGTCGTATCGCGACCAGCAAGCAGGACATTCATGAGCTCATTCAAAATGCGACGCTTGTCAGAAGTCCGGCGAGCCAGTTCATGAGAAAAGATATACTTTGTGGGCTGCTCGTGCGTCTCGTCGTCGGTCTGGCTCTTCCTCTGGTTTTCGACTGCTTCAATAGCCCCTTCGGCAAACTGCTGCGCAATGTCTCGGCAAATTGTTTCGCACTTAGCGGTTTTTGGGTCTCTTCCAAAGATGTATAGCGGGCCCAGTAGACCGCGCATTCGAATGGCGTCCTGAGCGCAGTTAAAAGCCTCGGCGAAGCTGATCTCGGCATCAGGTATCTTCTTCAAAGAGCCAACGGACTGGCCGAATAGGAACTCGGTCGCAGAGTCAATTGTGTAGCAAAAGAATATATCCTGCAGGTCAACGGTTGTCTTTCCGTCCCTTGGAATGAGAGAGAAAAGGTCAGGAATCAAGCGTTCAAAGGCGGCCAGGTCGGCGACTTGATCTCGTGTGAAATTGGGTCGGATGAGCGCACGAGAGCTGTGCCAGTGTTGGCCGTCAGTGTCGAAAATGCCTGATCCGAGCAATGGTCCAAAATCCTTCAAGCGGTGGCCGATGCCATAGTCGTCGAACTTGAGGGCAAGTATGGTCTTGATGTTGTCGGGTTCAATGGTCATGATGGTCGACTGCAGAAACTGCCTTGATCGAAAAGTGTTTCCATATTCCTTGAAACGCTCCGTGGCTTCCTCGAGCGTCTTGTGCGCCTTGGCAGCACGGAGCTGCTTTCTGGTTAAGTCGAGGCCCAGGATGGGTTCCTTCGTGGCACTATTGGCGATGGGTTTGCAGCCATATTGCTTTGCAAAACGACGTTGTCTCAAGTACGCTTCGACTCTTTTGAACAGAGAAACGAGCGCGACGATACCTATAATCAATAAAGCCAACTGTCGCGATTGGATGATCTCGGTCGTGACTTTCATGGTGCTTATCTTGTACTGTGGCCACGACTCTTGACGGGGACCTTGCAATGCAGGTTGTATGGAGGGAGATATTATACATCTAGCTCTGCATCCACCAAAATCAGGTAAATGAGACCGCAGGAGTTGGATGGTAGACGGATAGGTTTATACGCACAGCGGAACAAGGAGGCATCATCATATTGCTAAAATCGAGATAGCGTCAAGGTCGAGACCGCATCGACACAAAGGCATCGACAGCAACAGGCCTTAATACCGGATTTCGGGTGACACGCAATGCAACGCTCCAACGCTCGAAGAAGTATGTACTCCGTATGGGTCAGGGTCTGAACGCACCTCCACGGGTCGGAATTCGGTCATTTTGGCTCGTCTCCGCGTTAATTCAGAAGCTTGTATCAATGTATATGTATCACGCCCAAGATTGCAGACAAGCATCGGGATCGGAGGATTTGGCCGAGCCTGTTGGACTTTGGCGCACGTCAGCAACCATCACATGCTGGGCCAAAATCCCGTCGACTCTCGAGGCTACATATTATATCATAACGTACCTAGGCTGGTACATATCGTCGATGTAGGTATGTACAACAGGGACGCGACTCGAGTCTTGCAGTCAAATTGCAGCCGTCAAAAGCAAGTCAACTTTATAACTCTATTCGGCGCGGCTGGAATGCCCTTGCACGTGCTTCGTACTTGCGCGTCGCCAATTTAAATCCTTGTACATGTTGAACAAAATTTGGGGACACAAGAGCAAAACGATAAAAGTCTTCTCAGAACCAGCCAAAAATGATGTCATGGGAACACCTTCTCAATCGCAGGTGGTATAGGAAAAGCCCGATGCGGGGGTCGAACCCGCAACCTTGAGATGACGATATAGTAAGAGTCTCACGCTCTACCGATTGAGCTAACCGGGCGACGAACCCGTAACTTGTGCCGGTCTGTGGATAATTACGTGTTAAGAATAATACCATCCAACTTTTCCGGAAAGCATCGACGTTGAAACTTTGAAAGCCGCAACTTGCAAGTACATAGGTAGTTGTCGCCAGTCGGGTCCTAGAAACCCGGCGACGAGCCGTTGAAACAAAAGTTTGATTCTCGATAAGTACTGAGTTTGTATCATGTACGGCAGGGCAGCCGTGATCTTCCCGGCCACTTTTTAGCCGCTCTTAGAGGAGCCAGCGCATCATCCGCAGTGATTGCATTTTCTTACTTATTCAGGGCTGCTCAAACAAGCGCACATCTAGTCTCTATTCTCGTTGGATCATGACTAACAATCCCATGATGCCCAGCATCACGGTCTTCAGCCACGGGTGTTCCGATAGAAGGATGGTCACGTAGCCTACAAACGGGAAATAGCCCACCACGCTGCCTATTATGTCTCGGCGCTCCAAGTAGTCCTGGCCCCGAGCATATAGGTCTGTATCGTCGGCATTGTTGTTGTCGCCCTTGGTCAGTAGCTTAGCTTTCTCCCTGTGGCCCAGTCAGTATCGTTTCATCGTCTAATTGCGACTTTCCCCGGAAGCACGCTCCGTTGAGATGCGGCCACGTCAAAAGACTTACCCAACTCCAAACTTTCGCACAACTCGGTGAACGATAGGAATATCCTTTCCTTTAATATTGTATACGACGACTTCTCCCACGGAGGTTTCTTGTCGCAGGTTTCGGTTCCACAGTAGGAGGAGGTCACCGCGCTGGAATGCAGGCTCCATGGACCCGGACAGAACGACGACGATCGGTGATGGTGAGTCGGTGGCGACGGACAGGCCCTTCCACATCTGTTATGTTGAAAATCATTAGCTTGAAAAGTTATTCTCCTTTTCAAAGAGGATATAGAGCAAGTGTCAAAAGTTTCAACGCTGGAATGCGACATGTGAACGAGGTGCATGCGGAGGTCTGAACATTACCATAAATGCAGTGGACAGTATCAGCGCAAAGTTCATCAGCTGTACGGCAGCTTGCCGCGGGTTGCCCAGGCTGGATAACATGACTGCGACTGCTACTTCGACAAGGACTTGGTCAAGAGAATTGAGAGCTGTGGTTGCAGGCCAAAGCAGAGGGCAGCTAGCAGCTGCGTGGTGTAGCTGAGGTTTGGAGCTCTCTTCAATCCGTGACAACCTGGCGTGTTTGGGAACTGACCACGTCTCGTTGCTGGAAGCCAACGATCGGTTGGAAGCTACACCAGCCACACCTTAGTGCATTTTACCAAATCGGATCGGCACAGCCACACGTCACACGTGGGGCGGCCGCCTCGCCAAGCACACATGTACCTATGCATGTATGTACATGTTACATGTACGTCGTACGACACATTTGTGATGTCATGGAATGGTCGAAGCATGTCATCAGATGTCAAAGGCGCCGCATGGCGTTGGTGTGATATTTAAAAGAGCGCGTAACAGAAGAATGCATTGACTTACGCATAATCATAAAATATCAGTTCAATCCAATTTTCTGGTGCCTAGTCATTGCTCGCACTCTTAGTTCTCTTACGCATTCATACCTAAGGAGATTTTAACACACCGTGTGACGCTTCGTCAACATGTCAGGCTCGAACCCCCAAGAACCCAGTCTCATCCAGGGCCACGTTCAATACGTCAAAGGAGTTGCAGAGGTACGCGGACTTGAAGTTGAGATATCTCTTCGACAAATTGAGATACACACTCCAGTATCTCACTAGACTTCCTACCCTTCACTAATCTGACTTTGAACAGGCCACCATAGGAGATGTCACGGGCTCTAATCCCTGGAAGACATCGGGAGAGCAGGATAAAGCAGCAGGTATTTCGGCCATGAAAGAAGCGGGAGAGAAGCGGGACGCATCAACCCAGGGCTATGGAAAGGCCGAGGAGCTGGCTGGCAAATTGGCGGGATGCGAGGGTATGAAGCAAGAAGGTGCTGAGAGCATCAAAAAGGACTAGAGCCGGTACCGAGGAAACGCAAGTTGATGATTCCAGTCGTTTTACCAATACACCATATTACTTGAGCAACACCTGGGCTGTCTGTTGGACAGAAGTTGCCGATTTGGCATCTGGACTCCTGCTATCCAGCGTGAACGCACCACGCCTCCTTCCCAATTACGCCGAGGGCACATAGAGAAGGACCATAGCCAAAGCGCCCTCTTTCCCAGATTGCAAGGCCAGAGAGAATAAATCTACCTTTTGTGTCCCTCATGCGTCGCGACTTTTGCCTTTCTACAGCCTTGAATTCTTGGCATCGCCACAACTTCACCCCGTTCATATTACATTTGTATCCTAGTGTCCGCTGGCTGCGTCCTTGGCCACCGAACATTGTCAACTTCAACAACTTATTTTAGCAACCTGAACAATTACAATCTTGATATCAGCCCTCGATACAACATCACTTCTCGCCATGTCGTCCACTCCTCTCCTCGGCGGGTCAAACCTGCCAGCTCCTGTCATTATGCAGGACCATGTCAGTACACGCACCGTGGTGCTCAAGGATCGTGGCTAATTTCCAAGATGAATGCCTGCAGCCCGTGTTTCTTCGAGCGAGTCACTCCGCATGGCAATGGATTGACCAGAAAGCCTTGGTGGCCTCTCGTGGTACTGTGCTCGGATACCTCGTGGCCGCTGCAAGCATGACGATCCACTACAAAACGACGGAGGAGAAAGAGGGCACTGGTCTGAGCAACCTCTTCAATTTTTCCACAATCTGCTCCACCTTGACGTTTATATATCACCTCATAACTTTCGTAAGAAAACCCGTTAAAAGGCGTGGCGCGAAATGGGGAGCATGATATGTACTGATTATGCAGGCATGGACGTATACTCATATGTACCACCCCGAGCCGTCGGAGGTAGAAGGGCGCCTTGCGCGTCTCATCATCAAGGCCATGTCCTTACCTGAAAATATGGGCAGTCCACGGAAGCAATTTTACTTCCAACTCTTCCACAGTGCCACAACCGTTTTTTGTTTCATGAACTCAGTAATTTACTGGCTCATCACCCGACAGCACGACGCGGCCGCTGCAGCTGTAACTGTAGGATCCGAGGTTGCGGCCAACATTGTCAAGGCCACGTCTGGTACACCATGTTCGTCGACACCATTCCACTGAACTTGAATTCGACGAGCCTGCTGACAGTGATAATGTTGAAGTAAGCGATCTCTTGGGAGAGGGTTGGTTTAAGACTTTTATCACGATCAACCTCCATGCCGCCAATTCTTTCATCATGGTGGTGGAGATATTTTTCTTCAACAGCATCAAGCCCGCATTGGTAGTTCACTGTCCGAAACACTTGTCAGCGGGGGAGATACGAAGCTAACTTGTCGCACAGAATGTTGGTTCCCATATGCTCAGTCTCATGGGGTTAAGCGGCGCATACCTCGCATGGGGTGCCGTTGGCAAGTCGGTGACTGGAGAATATCCCTTCTTCTGGATGGATGAGGCACAGGTGGGATCCAAAGAGGCCGTCTCACTATATAGCATCGGATTTGTGTTACTCGCTCCAATGAGTAAGTAGATCCTTTGGGCCAGCAGCTTGTGGATGACAATATACCGAAATGCAGTAGCTGACATGACGCTGCAGTGTACATCTTGATGCATGGATTCATTGGAATTCGCGAGATCCTCACTCGCCCAGGCAATCGCACGGATCATTGAGAGAATTTTCCCCAGCCGCCTACTCGAAGGAGTGCCCGTACCGTAACCGTATAAAGAACCGTGAAGAGTTGGGCCCTAACGAGGGCAGGGCGCAGATAGTACAGGGAGGGAGAGCTGTGGGAAAAGTAGTATGGCTCGACCATGTATCGCACGCTCTTATATCTCGTAAAAAACACCCTAGAGGCATACTTGATCTTCAATACGCACCAACCTATTGCCCTTTCAGGCAAGTGGCAAGTCAATCGACAATGCCGGTGTTTCAGGTGATGCACACCCGGATCTCCTACGTTGTGCTGGGCTACCCGTCAATCTCGTGATAATCGCTGCAGGCTTCCTTGAAAAATACCATCTCCTTCCGGTGGTGCCAACGCAGCAAGATTGTAAAGAGCTCGTCGAAAGTGCCAAATTGCCCAGGTGAAGCTAGACCATCGATTCGACCCCGTTCAGGGTGCTCGTCGGCGCTTTAGGGAGGGACATGGGTTGTGCGAAAGTACTTGAAAGAGGCGTGCGAATACATCTGGACGATGTAATGACAGCTTGAGGGCTTGAATCTTCGATTTCGTTAATGTTATTTGATGAGAACCTGTGCTGCTGCCGACGGTGTTGATGATACCTATGGAGAGGCGCGTGGAGGAATGAACGATTATACAGCCGTAACATCAGGGTTTTGGGAGGCTTTGCTGGCTCCACTACGGCTCTTGAAGGAAAGATACCACCTGCCTCACTATCTGTCGCGTCGCGTCAATGCATCTTCATTTCATCCACATATACTTCATCTGAACATCTCATTCAGGATTCTCAAGACACAGTACACTCAATTGCGCGTCTTTAAGAATGCAAATTGGTATCAATACGCAGACTGAAGCTGCTGCGCGCGATGACACAAAATGGGCCCAATGCGGCGAACCGTTATGTTTTGGCTAACATGGACTCTATAAGAAGCAGACACAATTGGCCCACGCGGGACAGCTCAGCAGGTATCAGAACAGCAGACCATGTCCGATTTTGTGTCGCATCTCTTGTGAAGGAATGATATAGGCAAAGACTGAGGAACTAGTGTCAATCAATGTTGTTCTTATTCTTGGAGAGGAAGAAGAAGATGAAAAAGAAGGGCATCTTCCCTCAGACTTCTTCGTCTCTTCATACCTATGTCTAAGCATCTCTTACCTCCCAGAGAGAACATTTCTTTGCTGGGAGCCGGAAAAACTTTGCCTATGGGTACCTTCCAACCATCAATAAGAAGGCGGTATCTGTCGAATACTAATAGCCTCCAGGTAAGGCTTTCAGCCGGGA